GGTAGGATCCCACATGTCATGGAGGGGCTGGGCCAGTGAGCCATGGCTGCTGAGCCTGCACATCTGGAGCCTGTGTTCCACAATGGGAGAGGCCCCAACAGTGAGAGGCCCGTGTACCGCAAAAAAAAAAAAAAAATATATATATATATATATATACACACACATATACACACAATGGAATACTACTCAGTCATAAAAATTACTTCAATTTAAAAAAAAAGTAACTCAATAGTGAGCTGACTCTGCAGAGTCAAAGTTCAGTATAAGACTAACACTTTATGAGACTTATTACAACTGAAGTTTTGAACCATAAAGGGCACTTCAGGAAAAAAGCAGAGTGTGCATAGGCACTGAAATTAGAGATAGCTCAGCAGTGGAAGATAGAGTGGAGAGATGACCAAGGACCAGATCACAAAGGGCCTTACATGCCATCCTAAGGAATTTGGACTTTATTCTGAAAACCAAAAAAAGAATTTAAGTCTTATCAATGGACATCTAATACCGTGGCATAAGGCTATACTTAAAAATACATATTAGGGGGCTTCCCTGGTGGCACAGTGATGGGGATCTGCCTGCCGATGCAGGGGACACAGGTTCATGCCCCGGTCCGGGAAGATCCCACATGCTGCGGAGCGGCTGGGCCCGTGAGCCATGGCTGCTGAGTCTGCGCGTCCGGAGCCTGTGCTCCACAACGGGAGAGGCCACAACGGTGAGGGGCCTGCGTAATGCAAAGAAAAAAAAAGAACATACTGGGGCTTCCCTGGTGGCGCAGTGGTTAAGAATTTACCTGCCAATGCAGGGGACACAGGTTCGAGCCCTGGTCCGGAAGGATCCCACATGCTGTGGAGCAACTAGGCCCATGTGCCACAACTACTGAGCCCGTGCTCTAGAGTCCGCGAGCCACAACTACTGAGCCCACGTGCCACGACTACTGAAGCCCGCACGCCTGGAGCCTGTGCTCTGCAACAAGAGAGGCCACCACAGTGAGAAGCCCGCGCACCGCTTCTCACTGTGGTCCCTGCTTGCCACAACTAGAGAAAGTCTGTGCGCAGCAACAAAGACCCAGTGCAGCCAAAAGTAAATTAATTAATTAACGTTTAAAAGTACATATTGAATTCCTACTATGTACTAGATGCTGGGAACTCAATGGTGGAGAAGACAGATATGATTTCTACAATCAGGGCTCCTAATGTAAATGATTTTACAATAAACAAACAAATCATTATAAATTATAATAAGTGGTATGAAATAAAAGAATAAAGTGCTTTGAGAGACCCTAATGAGATGAAGGCAGCATGGGTAAGAATGATACACCTAAGTTGGAGAGGGTCAGAAGAGGCCTTTCAGACTGAGGAAGTGACATTCAAACTGAGACACGAAGAAACAGGAAGCACTCCAGGCAGAGGAAAATAATAGGTGCAAAGGCCATGAGTTATAAATAGTTTGGCATATTCAAGGAAATAAAAGAAAACCAATGTGCCTAGGGTACAGAGGGCAAGGCAAAGAGTGACAGAAGGTGAAAGAACATTTAAAAGCTTGTAGGCCATGATAAGGAACTGAGGTTTTATTCCAAGTGCAGGAAACCACTGAGGAGTTTTAAGCATGATCTGAAATTTTTTAAAGATCATTCTAGACACCTGATGGAGAATGGATTGAAGACACAAAAATGGAAGTAGAGGGTTTCCCTGGTGGCGCAGTGGTTGAGAGTCCGCCGGCCAATGCAGGGGACATGGGCTCGTGCCCTGGTCTGGGAGGATCCCATGTGCCGCGGAGCGGCTGGGCCTGTGAGCCATGGCCAGTGGGCCTGTGTGTCCGGAGCCTGTGCTCCACAATGGGAGAGGCCACAACAGTGAGAGGCCCGCGTACCGCAAAAAAAAAAAAAAAAAAAAAAAAAAAAAAAAAAAAAAAAAAAAAGGAAGTAGAGAGCCAACTTGGGATGCTACTGAAATTGTACAGAGTGAGTTGATGGTTATTTGGACTAGGGTTCTAATGGTGGAGATGAAAAGGTATGGGTAGATTCTAGAAATATTCTGGAGGTAGAGCTGAAGGATTTATGGACAGATTGAATATAGAAGGTGAGGGAAAGGGAGAACTCAAGATTGACTCTTAGGTTTCTGGCTTGAGCAACTACTTAGATACTGACATAGGGAACTCTGAGGTGAAACTGGTTTGAGGAAGAAATCAAGAGTTTTTTGTTTTAACATGTTAAGTATAGTATGCTGAATAATGATCTCCAAAGCTATCAGGTCCTAATCCTTGGATACTGTAATTGTTGCCCTGTATGTGAAAAGGGTCTTTGCAGATGTGATTAAATTAAGGATGCTGTGATGGGGACATTATCCTGGATTATCTGGGTGGGCCCTTAATGCCAACATAGGTATCCTTATAAGAGGGGGCAGAGGGAGACTTCACAGACAGAAGAGGAGAAGGCAATGTGATCACGGAGGCAGACACTGGAGTGATATGGCCACAAGTCAAGGAATGCCAGCAGCCACCAAATACTGCAATAGTCAAGGAATACATTCTTCCCTAGAGCCTCTGGAGGGAGCGTGGTCCTGCTGACATCCTGATTTTGGATCAGTGATACCAATTTCAGATTTCTGGCCTACAGAACTGTGAAAGCATAAATTTCTGTTGTTTTAAACCACCAAGTTTGTGGTAATTTGTTACAGCAGCCACAGGAAACTAATACATTATGTTTAAGATGCCTGTAAAGCATCCAAATAGAGATTTCGAATAAGCTGTTGGTATAAGAATCTGGAGTCCAAAAGTTAGAGTTATTGTTTTAAATATTCCTAACGGTTTGAAAGTTGCACTCTTACCTCCAGGTCCTTTCGAATGCTTTCAAACTCCTCAATGTCATCAAGCTTCAGCTCCAGACGGGTTGGTTTTCGTCTCAGCATAATGAAACCAACATTAAGGGACAGACCCAGTGAACTATCAGCTGTTAAAAATGGTAGAGAGGAGGAAAAATTGGAAAGGACAAATCTCAGCTACAAATATGTCCAATTTGTAAGCATGCACACTAAAACGAATGGTGATACAAAAGACTCATTTGGATTCACACATTGACTTCTAAGTCTTTACGTGTATCATTATTACATTTTTATTACGTGATGGAGATCCACCACTCTGTAATTCTCAAAAGCTCTTTCTTCCAGAACTTAAAATAGCAAGCTGCCTGTAAAAGAGGATTCTAGGCAACAATCACTTTAATCTCATGCTCCATTCACAAAGAAATATTTTAGCTAAGAGAATAAAGTTCAAATATCACATTTTAATTCGGTACTGTCAGTAGGAGAGTATACAAACCATTAAATTTGATCAACAACAGTATGTGGGAATTATGAGAGATTTGTGATGACTCCCGAATGCTAAAATCAGTTTACTAAGTCTTATGAAAACTCCCTCTAACTCACCAATTCACAGGGTTATCCTCAGGGTCTAAATAGGTCCTAAATGGATAGGTCATTCATTAAACAAACAGTTCTTATGCTCCAGCTACAGAGTTAAGAGGCATAGTCACAGTCTGTGGGGAAAACAAACACATAAATGGAAAATTGCAGTATACTGTAATAAGAACTTTGATGAGGGTAATGCAATGGCCTCACACAGACACACAATGCAGTGGGGTGAACAGGGATGTGAAAGACTTCCTGGAGGAGATGATGTCTTAGTTGCTTTGTGAAGGGCAGGCAGAGAGGATTAAAGGCATCCCAGGCAGAGAGAACAAGTATGCACAGAAGCTCAAGAGAACACTCTAGAATCTGAAAACCCAAAGTAATGCTCATGCTTTAAAAAAAAAAAAAAAAGAAGAGCTGGGTTTTTTTAGAAGAAAATAAAACTCCCCAACTGAGTTTAAAAGCTGTTGATGGCATCATCTTTATATTCTCACAGCGTCCAGTAGAGAATGTCTGCAATAACCAGCCATTACATATTCTGTTGAATAAACTGGCTACACTCTTCTTCCGCTGCAGGAGTCACGGGTCTGATCCCTCTCCAGGGAACTAAGATCCCGCATGCCGCAGCAGAGCAACCAAAAACAAAAGTCAGCCTCCTGGGAAAATTATATATAGGTCACATGGTGAGGATTAAATGAAAATGATGTAAGTGAAGGCTCCTTTAACATACATACAGATATAAATTATCATTACACGTATCTAGGATATAGCTAGTGACTGTGAAGTATAGAAAGGAAATGTTTCCTTCTACCATGAAGCTTGGGACAGATACAAGTGATGTTATCAACACAAAACAATGGCACATTACATTTCAAATTGCTTTGTACTAAATCAGATACTACCTTTTTTTTTCTTTTATTATTTTTTTATTGGAGTATAATTGCTTTACAATGTTGTTAGTTTCTGCTGCACAGCGAAGTGACTCAGCCATTCGCATACACACATCCCCTCCCTCTTAGACCTCCCTCCCCCCCATCCACCCAACTAGGCCATCACAGAGCACGGAACTGAGCTCCCTGTGCTATACAGCAGGTTCCCACTAGCTATCTGTTTTACACATGGTAGTGTATTTATGTCAAACCTAATCTCCCAATTCATCCCACCCTCCCCTTCCCCGCCATGCCCACACATCCGTTCATTCTTGCCCTGCAAATAGGTTCATCTGTACCATTTTTCTAGATTCCACATATATGTGTTAATATACGATATTTGTTTTTCTCTTTCTGACTTACTTCACTCTGTATGACAGACTCTAGGTCCATCCACATCTCTACAAATGACCCAATTTCATTTCTTTTTATGGCCGAGTAATATTCCATTTTATATATATGTACAACATCTTCTTTATCCATTCATCTGTCGATGGACATTTAGGTTGTTTCCATGTCCTGGCTATTGTAAATAGTGCTGCACTGTTGGTGGGAATGTAAATTGATACAGATACTATCTTGATTCCAAAGTAGACAAAAGGTAGAGGAAGCCAAAGTTCCAAGGGGGGAGAATGCTTAAAAGAAAAAACAGGGACTTCCCTCGTGACGCAGTGGTTAAGAATCTGCCTGCCAATGCAGGGGACACGGGTTCGATCCCTGGTCCGGGAAGATCCCACATGCCGCGGAGCAAGTAAACCTGTGCGCCACAACTACTGAGCCCACGTGTCACAACAACTGAAGCCCACGCGCCTAGAGCCTGAGCTCCACAACAAGAGAAGCCACCTCAATGAGAAGTCCACGCACCACAACGAAAAGTAGCCCCTGCTCGCCGCAACTAGAGAAAGCCCGCCCAGCAACGAAGACCCAACGCAGCCAAAAAATAATTAATTAATTATTTTTAAAAAGGGAAAAGAAAAAACAACTGTGATACATTTTAACTTTTCTGCAAACTATGAAAAGATCGCCACTAGGGGGCAGTATAGAGTAATGGGTAAAAGTGCTTGTTCTGGAGGCGAAAGGGCAGAGGACACAGATTCTAATCCCATCGCCACTGATCTTGGACCATCAGCTTCACCTTTCACTAGATCATGGTTTCCTCGTCTGTACCTGTACTCTATTGTTGTATGGACTGAATGTCGTATTGCAGCTTAAATTCCTGTAACATAACCTGGCATTTAGTAAACGCTCAGTAAACAGGCATTATTATTGTAATTGTCCTCGGGGAGGGTAGGGGGCTCTGTCCAGCTCGGGAAACACCAATATTTTGACCATCTCCACCCCCAACACGGGGACAAAACCTTGTCTTGTCTATCTCTGATGCCCCAGCACCCAGCGCACACGGGGCTGTGCAGAGTTGCTGGAGTGCGGTTTACCTGACGCCTCACATTCATCATCTCACTCTGAGTAAGATAGACCGGGCTGAAGACAGCAAAAGGAGGCCTTGGCTCCTCCGCCAGGTCTTTATTTTCCTTTGGCGCTAGAGGGCTCTTCGAACTTATTCTCTCGCCACTGCCCAAATCCACCAAAAACCCACCCAGCTAAGAAGAAACCGCCGAGAGAACTTCCTGACAGCGGAAGAGAATAGCACTCCTTCCGCAGCTCCAAGGCCGCACTCGCTGGTCCAGAGCGAGGGTTTCCATGGCAACACGGTTCTTCGCTCCCGTAGGACTTAAAGCCCCTCGCAGGACCCGGAGCGACAGCAGGCCCCGGAAGCCGTCTATTCACTCCCAGAGTTCAGTCAGTAGCCGCGCGACTCGCCGCACCTACCTCTTTACAGACCTGTTCAGCCCCTTCCCGGAACCTCGGCGCTCACCCCGAGTCTCCGGCTAAGCCAACTGGACTACAATTCCCAGACTGCTCTGAGTCGCTCTCCTCGCAGAACCCTGTCCTTCGCGTGCTTTTCTCGGAGGCTCCACGGAACAAACCACTCGACGCGCCCAGACTCTTTCCTACTACGATTCCCATCATGCTCCACGCCGCCCAGGACGCTGCGTCCGCCCGCGGCCCACTTCCGGTAGGTGTCGTAATTCAGCCTTGCTGGGCGCGCGGTGGATGGTCTGAAACATAGAGGTCGGCTTTCGGTGGGGCTTCGCGGCTCCGGAGCCCAGCATGGCCTCCTCACGAGCTTCCTCCGCGGTACAGGTCTCAGCTCACTCTGGCAGGGAGCGCGGAGGATTGGGGCTTTCTGCGGAACAGGGCCGTTAGGGAACGGGCTACGGCGGTGGAGGGCTGAGGAGGAAAGCTGCCAGACTCGGTCTGGTCTTAGAGAGCGGAGCAGCGTTTTCCTGATCCCTGAGTGCTTTCGTATTTTAGTTCATTTCCAGCTCTCGCTACAACCCCGAAATGTAAATACCTTTTCCGTCTGGTTCAGAAACGGAGTTCTGAAAGGGAGTAGTGTCTTGGCCAAGATTTATGACAATGTCAGACCTCTTAAGTGTAATGAGGCCTCCTAACTTCCTATCTACTGCCCCACGTCTGAAAACGTTTGAAATGTATAGACAGTAACTTTGTAACTTGTCCCCCTTACCATCGCTTTGGTTATTTCAGTTATCCTTGATATCGCCTGTGATGAGCAGTAACCCTGGAAGTTTCGTAAAGCCCAGGAAGAGATTGCACTTGGAACTGAATGAAGTAAACATGTTCCAAAGCACGCCTTTGATAGAAAAATCACCAAGAGAAATTCACTAGTTTTGTCTCTTCCTATCTGCAAAACTTAAGTGACCGAGAGACTGGAATCACCCCCTGACCACGTCCAAATCAGGGAAGACACATCTTAACTGGTGTCCAATTTGTGTTTTCTTTAGAGAAGAAATAGGATTGAAGCTCTGGATAAGCGTCATCCTTCTGGGAGGTCTAGTAAATTGCTTAAGATTAAGTTTTAGGTTAATCCAGATCTTTGATTTAGCAGGCAACCAAAACTAAGGCATCTGATGACTTAGTTGCTCCTGTTGTGAAGAAACCACACATCTATTATGGAAGTTTGGAAGAGAAGGAGAGGGAGCGCCTGGCCAAAGGAGAATCTGGGATTTTGGGAAAAGAAGGACTTAAAGCAGGAATTGAAGCAGGAAACATTAACATAACCTCTGGTAAGATGCAAACTGTGAGTCCGTCTTTACCTTTGGTGCTCAAATTATCTGTAATGATTACCTTCCTAAACTTAGATATCACTAGTTTAGCGTCAGAAACTTTCAAATATTAAACTTGCATCTATCTTAAGGCCATACTCTCTGCCCACTCCACTTAGTATCATCTGGAGAACCTATTTCTTAAAACGTTTTATACAGTTTTTCTTCTACGAATTGTTAGTAATTTTACTAGGAATTTATTCATTGTGTATTTGGATTCAAATTGATTCCATTTATCTTCTGGAGATCTAGCATAGTTGTGGCATTGGTTTGGAGCTACTGTGGTTCATAATATTCTCCCTTTTTTAGTTTTCCAATTATTTTTCACCCAAAATGAAATACCTCTTTTAAATTATAAAAGTAGTAGCCGTTTTTATTTTGAAAGAAATCAAAATACAACTTTTTTTCCATAAATGAAACCATGATGAGCAAATTGTTTTGTAACCTGCATTTGTCATTCTGTATACTGTTGAGGATATTTTTTCGTGTCAGTAACTAGTGGTCCACTATATTTTTGAAATAAAATTATTTATGTTTGTCATGAGAAATTCAGAGAGTACAGAAGGGTATAAAAAGAGTTCTCTGCAGATAGGACTTCTGTCAAGTTTCTCATGGATCCTCCCATACATTTTCTTTTCTATACACATGTACAGTAGTGACTTTTTAAACCTTTTATGTTATTTTAAACATAACTGCATCACTACTATAATTTTTCTTTTTCATCGAAATGCTTGTATTTGGTGTGAGTTTTAAAACTAGCTGATAGATTACCCAAAAAACCTTAGAGTCAAAGAATATCATTTTCATGGTAATTATTTCCAATTAGTGTCCCTATACTGAGACTATTTCAGAGAGTAGCTTTGGCAATTGTTAAAATAATGTTTCTATTTTATCATGGATAGAAAGCCTACATAACTTATTTGTTAAAGATTCTTCATACTCTTATTGTCTCATGCAAGCTATGTGTTTATGTAAGTTTGCCAAATGAAACAAGATGGCTTCAACTGTTTTCCTGCCTTTTAAAACGTCGTTTAGTTTTCTGTGTTTGGCATACTTTATTTATTTTTAATTAATTATTTATTTTTTGGCTGTTTGGGTCTTCTTTGCTGCACGCAGACTTTCTCTAGTTGCGGGGAGTGGGAGCTACTCATCATTGCGGTGCGTGGGCTTCTCATTGCGGTGGCTTCTCTTGTTGCAGAGCACGGGCTCTAGGTGCATGGGTTCAGTAGTTGTGGCTCGCGGGCTCTAGAGTGCAGGCTCAGTAGTTGTGGCTCATGAGCTTAGTTGCTCCGAGGCATGTGGGATCTTCCCGGAACAGGGATCGAACCCGTGTCCCCTGCATTGGCAGGCAGATTCTTAACCACTGTGCCCTCAGGGAGGTCCTGGCATACTTTAATCCACGTGGCAGGTGGATTCTTAACCACTGAGCCACCAGGGAAGCCCTGGCATACTTTAATAAACTGAGAAACTATAAAGTTTGTAGTAGATTAAACAGTTAACTTTCCCTAGAGGCATACAGACTCCAAATGTAAGAAATTATTTCTGGGCTTCCCTGGTGGTGCAGTGGTTAAGAATCCGCCTGCCAATGCAGGGGACATGAGTTCGATCCCTGGTCCAGGAAGACCCCACATGCCTCGGAGCAACAAAGCCCGTGCACCACAACTGCTCAGCCTGTGCTCTAGAGTCCGCATGCCGCAGCTACTGAGCCTGCCTGATGCAACTACTGAAGCCCACACGCCTAGAGCCCGTGTTCTGCAACAAGAGAAGCCACTGTGATGAGAAGCCCATGCACAGCAACAAAGACCCAACACAGCCAAAATTAAATTAAATTAAAAAGAAAAAAAATGAAATGATTTCTTTCTCCCTACTTGAGGAAGATCTGGTGATTATGCTCATGTTGCCGGTTCTTTTTACAGGAGAAGTGTTTGAAATTGAAGACCACATCAGTGAGCGACAGGCTGAAGTGTTAGCTGAGTTTGAGAGGAGGAAGCGAGCCCGGCAAATCAATGTTTCCACAGATGACTCAGAGGTCAAGGCTTGCCTTAGGGCCTTGGGGGAACCCATCACACTTTTTGGAGAGGGTACAGCTGAAAGAAGCGAAAGGTGCCCTTTCTAAGTATCTACTCTCTTCTTTTTTAATCACAGGGTTCCAGTTCCAAATTTCAGTTGGAATTTGTAGCTAAAACTTTAATAGAATGTCTCAGATAATTTTGACAGAATATCTTATTAGGTTGCATTAATATGTTTTAGCCCATAATTTAAGTCTTAGGCCAGTTTTTACTCCACTACTAATTTTTCTTTATAAACTATGAAGAAGATGTTAACACATTCCCTCCCTTCCTCTCCTCATTATGGGGTTGTGAGTTGGGTAAACATTTGTCACTGAACTCTGAAAATTTAAACAACAAACGCATTCTTTGTCATTAACATAAGACATAATGATAAGTGTTTTTTGGGTGTTACTGCAAAAAGGCACTGTCCTCATATAATGCTCCTCTTGTGATTTTGAAGTTACAAAATCTCTTAGTGATAGGCTAGTCCTATGCAGTTATGCAGACCTGGCCTGCCTACCTGCTTCTTTAGGACTTGGGGCTCAGCTATTCCTCACTCATTACGTTTACTCTCTTAAGGCCCTTACCGCTCATTTACTCTTCAGCCTACTGCAAACTGATCGACCACTACCACATTGAAATTGCTCTTAATTAAGGTCATCAACTCATCGTCATCAAGAATAGCCCTAGTACACTGCCACCTATTCCCTCCTTCAAACACTCCGTTTCCTTGGCTCTCAGAAGACCAAATCATCCTGCTTTTCCTCCTGTTTCTCTAGCTAATTCTTCTAAGCCTCTTTTTTTCCTGTTTATAAACTACTGTTTTTTGCCCTTATCCTACACTAACCCTGAGTGATCAACTCCATTCCCATGGCGTGGTTTACTCTGTGTATATATATTCTGATGACTCCCAGGTCTCTGTAGCCTAGATATTCTATAGGTACTCAAATTTGACATGTCTAAATTGAACTCATCTATTTTCCAGTTCTCCTTGCAAATAACAGTACCATTCACACAGTTTTCAGTTGAAAACCTGCTCACCTTCTGTGTAACCCATCAGCAAAATCTTGTCTCTTCTACTTCTGAAATGTACCTCCAGTGTGTCCTCTTTTCTCTACCTGCATTGCTTTCACATTTAGACTGTTGTAATAGCCCCAAATGTGTTATGTTAATTGTTTGCTTAAAATCCTACAGTTTTTTGTTTTTTTTTTAATTTATTTTATTTTTCGCTGTGTTGGGTCTATCATTGCTGTGTGCGGGCTTTCTCTAGTTGCGGCAAGCGGGGACGACTCTTCATCGCAGCGCACAGGTCCCTCATCGCGGTGGCCTCCCACTGCGGAGCACGGGCTCCAGGCTCGCAGGCCTCAGCAGCTGTGGCATGCAGGCTCAGTAGTTGTGCACAGGCCCAGTTGCTCCGCAGCACGTGGTATCCTCCCGGGCTCGAATCCATGTCCCCCACATTAGCAGGCGGACTCCCAACCACTGCGCCACCAGGGAAGCCCCCTACAGAGTCTTCTCATTAAACTTAGAGTAGGGCTTCCCTGGTGGCGCAGTGCTTGAGAGTCCGCCTGCCGATGCAGGAGACGCGGGTTCATGCCCCATTTCGGGAAGATCCCACATGCCGCGGAGCGGCTGGGCCCGTGAGCCATGGCCGCTGGGCCTGCGCGTCCGGAGCCTGTGCTCCGCAAATGGGAGAGGCCACAGCAGTGAGAGGCCCGCATAACGCAAGAAAAAAAAAAAAAAAAAAAAAAAAAACTTAGAGTAAAAAGCTCCTAATCATGCTCTTCATCCTTGCCTTGTGCCACTCTTCCCCAGTTTACTAGACTTAGCAGCCATAATGGTCCTCCTGGGATACTCAAGCTCTTTTGCTGTCTATCCACTGAATTTTTCTCTTTTTGTCCCCCTCTCTTGCCTTTTAGAGCTTTTTTATTCTTTTGGTTTCAGCATAAATGCCACCTCCTCAAAAAAGCCTTTCCTAACACCTGACCCCTTGTAAAGTAAGTCCTGCCGTTATTAAGAAAGTAACATACTTTCTTAATAGCCTTTCAGAGGGTTTACTTCTACTGTTTATTGTTTGTCTTCTCCACCAGCAAAGTCTGCCTTATTGTGTCCCTTAAATGAATGTCTTGAGTCCCCACTGCCACTGTCTTGATTCAGTCCATAAGACTCAGGGGATACAATAGTATGCCTTTGTTCTTCCCTCTTCAGTCCATTCTCCATACTTTTCCAGGGGTCTTTCTCAAATGTAAACCCTCCTTACCATGGCATTAGGAGCTCTTTGTGACCTGGCCCCTGCTTAGATTTGCAGCCTTATCT